GACACTTCTCCAAAGAGGACACACAGGTGCCAAGAGACACAGAGAGAGCTGCAAATTAAAACCACAATGAGGTGTCACCTCACACCTGTCAGAATGGCTCCATCTACAAATCAGCAAACGCCATGTACTGGCGAGGGTGTGGAGAAAGGGGAACCTGGTGCACTGCTGGTGGGAATGCAGACTGGTGCAGCCACTATGGAAAATAGTACAGAGGTTCCTCAAAAAATTAAAAATGGAGCTGCCTTTTGACCCAGTGATCCCACTCCTAGGAATGTATCCTAAGAATCCTGAAACATTCATCAGAAAGGATATATGTACCCCGATGTTCACAGCAGCGCAGTTTACAATAGCTAAGATCTGGAAACAGCCCAAGTGCCCATCAGTAGATGAGTGGATAAAAAGCTGAGGGACATTCACACCATGGATACTACGCAGCTGTAAAGAAGAAGGATCTGGTACCCTTTGGGACAGTATGGATGGACCTGGGGAATATTATGTTAAGCGAAATAATCCAGGCAGAGAAAGACAAACATCACATGATCTCGCTTATATGTGGAATCTAAAGAACTTAATAAACTGATGAACAGAATAGATTCAATGACATGGAAGCATGGATGAGACTGACGAATGTCAGAGGGATGGAGGAGGGCGGGTGGGTGGAGGGGGAGAGAGTAACCAAAGAATGTATATGCAGATATGCACAACCCAAGGACACGGACAATGGTGGGGAGAGGGACTGGGAAGGGGGATGGGATGGGGTGGAATGGGTCATTGGGGAGAAAAAGGGACATCTGTAATATTTTAAACAAAAATAAAATTTAAAAATAAAGACAAAACAAAACAAAAGTTTAGTGTCCAAAAACAATAGACACTTATTCCCTCACAGTTTCCGTGGGTCAGGAATTCAGAAGCGGCTTTCCTGGGCAGCTCTGTCCCCGAGGCTGGGCTGGGGTGCCCCTGGGAGAATAAGTAGCCAGCTCTGGTTTGCACTGAGCATAGGCTATGGGGGACAAGCTGGGGGAGGACTCAGTTATTGTCAGCCTGCTGTGTAGGTGTTGCACGTGTATTACCTGGGCTGCTCATCCAGCCTCCAGAGGTGGGCAGGTCCCTGCCTGGCTGAGCCGTTGGGCTAGACAGATGCGGAACGTCTTTGATTTCCCTAGAATGCGAGGCAGTGTGGCCCCCAGCCTGGCACCCTCATGTGCTGAGGTCAGAAGAAAGGACAGAAGAGGCTGGCAGGGAAGGATAGAGGGCCCCAGGGAGGGGCCATGGGGTGGAAGATGGGCCTGGGAAGGTGTGTTTGGGGGCCCAGCAGACAAGAGCTCCTGGGGGTCCAGACGACAGGTGAAGGGTCCTCCTCTGTCCCTGCAATCTAGGGTGGGGACAGCTTCCAGCTGCAGGCCCAGCTGTGGGAGGGATTTCCCAACTCCTCCAGCCTGAACCCTCTCCCCTTCAGGTTCCCCAACTCCCTCCTCTTTCCTGAGATTGGGGCCACCAGCCGCTTCCCACTTCTCTGCTCTGCTCAGGCTCATCCCCAAGTCCCTACACATTCAGGTCAGACCCCACCCCAGGACCAGGCAGATCTGAGACCCCTTCCATGTGCAAGAGGGAACCCAAGGATGCGTTCTGGGCCCAGGGGTCCCTCCCCAGCTCCTGCAGACCCAGTGGGGACAGCTGTTCCCTTTCTAGCAAGTCCCCCAGCTGGAGCAGTCTGGTCATAAGCAATGGCCCCTGTCCCTTTGGGGAGACAGCAAGGCTAAGGTCACAGATGGCAAGAGAGGCGAACTCTGGCCCCGGCAGCTTAGAGAGCAGTGGTGGAGGAAGCGGGCAGCAGGGCAGCTCGGACCCTGTACAAACCAGGAGGTCCTGCTCCTATGCCAGACCCCAGGCCGCCTGGTGGGGTCCGTAGGTGTGGGTGTCCCCGGGCTCTGTGGGGCTGGTGGAGTCCTGAGCCCAGGAAGGGACTCACTGTCTCTGGCATGTGACCTGAAAGAGAGACACCGGCCCCAGCACCCCAGCACCTTCTCCCAGGAGCTCTGTGGGAGCCTGGAGCCCTGCGCCCGGGACTTTGTTTCCTGCAGAGAAGCGGAGCCAGGAGGCTGTCCTCTCCGTCTCCGCTGAGTTGCTCTGAGGACAAAGGCAGATGGCGCTTGGAGGGCGGAAAGGCTCTGTTTAAGCGTACGGGATTATTATTTTTGCAGAGAAAAGCGGCCTCTGAGGGGGAGCTCAGGCTCCCTGACTTGAAGAGTGGGGTGCACGTGTGGGAGGGTGCGGCCACCCCCAAGAACCTGCCGAGCTCACAGGGCTGTGACCCTGCACAGGACAGGCGCCCACTCAGGTGGGGCAGCATTGTTGCCTCGGAGGCCCTGAGTCTCCAGAGTGGGCAGGATGGTGCCAGCGAGCCTCACTCCCCCTCGAGGCCCTGGAGTCGATTTACAGCGACTGTGAAAGCTACTCTGGGATCAGGGTCAGAGCCCAGCCCTGGTGTGATCGACAGGGACAGCTGGATTCTCGGGGGTCCTTCGGGGTCCCCCATTCCTCCTCTCTCTTCTCCTCTGACAAGGCCTACCTGGCCTCCTGACCCCATGGACTCCTCAGCCCTTCTCCAGCTACCACCGCCCACGGCCAGGAGTGGGCATCGTGTCCTGGCTGGACTTTTACAAGGCCTTCAGTTTTCTCTTTTGAAAGTATATTTATTGTTTGTCCAAAAATGATGCATGTCCCCTCAAACAAATGGAAAAAGACAGAGAAGGTGACAGAGCCACCCCATGTCCGTGGCCACATGCTACAGGGCCACATGCAGAGCCACATGGCAGCCTGTAGTTGGAGGGGACCTGTGAATGGGGGCCGCAGGAGGTGCACCTGGAGGAGGGCACTCAGTGAGCCCGAGTTTGCGCAGTTCACTGACAGTGAGAGATGGGGGTCGGGTCAGGGAAGGACGGGAGGAGCTAAGGGCAGCTCCCGGGTGTGTGGCTGTGAAGGCAGGTGGAAGGTGGTGCCCCTACTAAGAGCAGAAGAGAATGGAGTGGCCCAGGCAGGGCTTTGGGGCAAGGACAGGCTGGCAGGGCCAGAGTGCAGGGCAGGGGCAGGTGTTTAGGGATGGCAGGGAGGCGGCCACTTCCCTCTTAGGCCCTGTTTTCTCATCTGTGAAATGGGCCCACCTCCCTGGGGCCCATTCAAATTGGCACGTGGAAAGGGCACCAAGGACGGGCTGCCTGGCCTGGCCCAGCCCCAGGTGAGCAGGGCGGCTGCTCTGAGCCTCCCTTTTCTCAGTGGGACTTGATGGAGCCTATTGTTTTGCAGATTGATGCTGTCACCTGGCCTGCATGGACCCAGGAGAGCTTTGCATCTGCCTGTCCCCAACCTGGGTGCTGACTCCCACCTCTGCACCGGCCCCTGGCTGTGTTGCCCTAATAAATTGCCTCTGCTTTGCCCGCTGCTGTGTCTGTCTCCTTCTGTGGCCTGGGAGGCATCTTTCTGGCTCTGGGGCCTCTGAGATGGAACCTGGCTGTGGGGGTGGGAGGGAGGTGGCAAGTGTGTGAGTGTGACAGTGTGTGTGCATGTGAGCCTCAGTGCTCCCTGTGTGTGTGAGCCTCAGTGCTCCCTGTGTGTGTGTGTGAATGTGAATATGTGTATGTTTGAGCATTAGTGCTCCGTGTGTGTGTGTGTGAGAGCCTCAGTGTCCCTGTGTGTGTGTGTGTGTGTGTGTGTGTGAGCCTCAGCGCTCCGTGTCTGTGAGTGTGTGTGTGCGAGCATGCTGGCTGAGCTTGGAGGTGAGTGTGAATCGTGCGATGGGGGTAGTCTAGGGCAGTAACCTGCCATGGGGCCCAGCCCACCCCTCCCATGGGAGACCTGCGGCATTGATGGATACGGGGACCTTGCCCTTTCCTCCCTGAGACCAAGTACAAGCCCTGGCCTTCTGGAAACAAAGCAGGGGTTGGAGGCAGCTCTGAGGCCCCTGCAGCTCCTGAGATCCTATTTTCTCTGCCTCCTGACGCCCAGCCTGGGACGGGCAGGAATAAACGGGTCCTGGCTGTGGCAGGAATAAAGACACCCTGTCCTATAGGGGTGAGGGGTAGTGGATGAGATGCCCCTAAACAAGAGGGGGGCAGAGAAGCTGCTGCGGGTGGAGAGGGCTGGAGGCAGCCCCTCTCGCTATGGGGAGTGGGTGCCTGGCAGGCCGACTGAGGTCCCCATCAGTACAGCACTAGGGTCAGCATTGTCCTTCCCAGGTCCCCAACACAGCCAGGGGCCGGTGCAGAGCTCAAGACCTCACAGGGGCGGGGAGAGAGTGAGCCCATCTGGGAGGCACATCCCCAGAAGAGTCCTCAGGCTGCTGCTTCCCGCTCAGGTGGGCGGGAGCAGGCGGCCACCCCCTCCTGCAGCCGAGGCCCCAGTCCTCTGCTGGGGCACGGT